GTTAGTTTGTTTAGCAAAATATTTTCTGTTCTGCCTATGTTTGCTTTGCTTGTCATTTTCCCCGTGGTTGCTTGTGTTTGCTTTGTTTTTTCTTGCTCAATCTATTTCACTTTCAGTTTTTCCTCACTCTTGTCCACACCTTTTGCTAATGTTTGTCTTCTGCTTCTATTTTTAACACATTTAGCTGAAACTTCTTCTCAGTCACCAACTTCAACAACATCCTCCGAGACGATGGCCTGCACTCGTTACCCGCAGATTGGCAAGCCGGCCCCGGCCTTCAAAGGCACCGCCGTCGTCGATGGGCAGTTTAAGGAGATCAGCCTCGCCGACTTTAAGGGCAAGTACGTGGTGCTCTTCTTCTACCCGATGGACTTGTAAGTACTCGAGGAACTTTAATTTTCTATTTTCAAAATACTAAAATTCTATTTATTTTTGTTTTTCAGCACCTTCGTCTGCCCCACCGAGATCATCGGCTTCAGCGAGCGGGCGGCGGACTTTGCGAAGATCAACGCCCAGCTGATCGCCGCCAGTNTTTAAGGAGATCAGCCTCGCCGACTTTAAGGGCAAGTACGTGGTGCTCTTCTTCTACCCGATGGACTTGTAAGTACTCGAGGAACTTTAATTTTCTATTTTCAAAATACTAAAATTCTATTTATTTTTGTTTTTCAGCACCTTCGTCTGCCCCACCGAGATCATCGGCTTCAGCGAGCGGGCGGCGGACTTTGCGAAGATCAACGCCCAGCTGATCGCCGCCAGCACCGACTCGCACTACACCCACCTCGCCTGGATCAACACCCCGCGAAAGGAGGGCGGCCTGGGGGCGTTGAAGATTCCCCTGCTGGCGGACAAGAGCGCCGCCATCAGCAAGGACTACGGGGTCTACCTGGAGGAGCCGGGCGTCCCCCTGCGCGGCCTCTTCGTCATCGACGACAAGGGCACACTGCGCCAGATTACCATCAACGACCTGCCCGTGGGTCGATCCGTGGATGAGACGCTGCGACTGGTGCAGGCTTTTCAGTATACGGTGAGTATCTTTTTTTGAGTACTTTTTGAGTACTTTTTGAGTACTGAACTTCTTTACTGAACTTCTTTTCCCCTAGGATGTCCACGGCGAAGTCTGCCCCCTGGGCTGGAAGCCCGGCGATGCCACCATCAAGCCGGCAGTGGACGCCTCGAAGGCCTTCTTTGCCAAGCAGAATTAGGCAAGGAGTTCTGAAGGTTTGAAGATTTGGTGGTGGTGATTACCTTCTTCTACTTCCTCTTGGCTGTGGCCTATCTTTTCACTATCATTTCTCAGTAGTTATCTTTATCTTTATCTTTCTCTTTCTGCTATTGTGTGTATGCGCTCCCTCCCTCTCTCTCTCTCTCTCTCTCTTTCTTTTCTCTGTAGGCGATTTTGTGGTGTGTGTGTGTACGTGTGGAGTTTGTTACACTTTATTTTTCCTCAACTTCAAGAACTTCAGAACTTGAGTCGATTCCATCTGTGGCTATCCCCTTTTCTCTTTCTATTTTTTTCTAAATTTTCCACACTTTTTCTTTCCTTTTCTCCTTTTCTCA